GGGGGAGGGTGGAGGGGATAAATAGAGTGCTTTAATTCATAGAATTGAATCTATTTCCTTACTGTAGAATTTAGAAAAAAATATTGATAGGCCTATATGCACACACACCAAAGTCACCAACCACTGCTTTGAAAACCTTTCGTGGTTTTGGTAAAGAAAAGCAGTTCAGACACAAAAGTCAACACTCTTGGGTGGCACAGGTAGGAACAACATTGGCACGTCAGATTAAAAAAACAAAAAACAACCAACAACGGATGGTCAATGAAATACAGAATACTCTGAAGATAACAGAACACAAAAAGAGAATAAACCCAACTGGGTCACAGTTTTTTTACATTTCTGAACAAAAATACACCTAACCAAAACACATTCATCCTTTTTTTTATATCAAAAGGTGTATTTACTGTGTGGTTCATTTTTTTCTACCCAGTCTGGTGTTTATTTTACGTAGTTAATTAATATGTTAAAGAGGAGCGGAGTTGGAGAGGGAAGTTTGTGATATTGAATACTTGGTTGGTAAAACTGGCATTGGGCAAAGGAGGAACAACCCTCGATATTATTAAATGCTTACAAATCCTAACCCCACAATGAAAAGAAGATACTAAATCGGTTCTCCTCCTTGTCCCCTTCATGCATGAACTTCACTGTACTCTGTTTTCCAATTACTGCTCACTCTGCTGCAGAATCCAGAGCGAGATGTGGCCAGCAATGTCCGCTCTCCGCGGGCCATGCGGAAAACTCAGGTGAACAAGTTTGAACTGGGTGTGTCGTTGTAGATATTAATGTGCCTAACACGACTTGAGGACAAAGCAATCAAATCTTTAAGATTATGCGCGGTCAACGGGTCAGGACTCCTCCTGTAAATGGTTGTAGCTGTGTAAATGAAAAGTTATTTCTGATTTAGCTGAATTAGTCATTAAAGTCAAAGATGCAGTAAAAAAGGATAAACTTGTAACTATTGCTCAACGACTTGCTTCAAGCTAGAATGATTTTCGGGAGAATGTCTTTCTGTGTGTGAATTGGCAGTGGGTGAAAGTCTATTGTTACTCTGTGTTTGGGTACATGTATTTTGTTTTCGCTTATGTGTTTGTTCGCGTGAATCAATTTATATGGATTGTGTGTGTGTGTGTGTGTGTGTGTGTGTGTGTGTGTGTGTGTGTGTGTGTGTGTGTGTGTGTGTGTGTGTATGTATGTATGTGCGCGTACGTGCGTATGTGCGAGCTTGCGTGCAGGCAGTCGTGTATTCGTATGAATGCTCTTGTCTGAATGAGGCTATGCCTCATACTTGGAA